CGCACATCCCAATGGGTGGCGTCCCTTCCCCCTCCTGTTTGCCGCTGCCACCAACACACGCACGCTGCCGTCCTGCTTGGCTGCGTGGGTGGAGCACCGTAACTGTTTTTATCATTTTGATTGTTTCATTGCTTTCGGTGGGCGACCTTTCTCTCTTTCTCTTCCTGAATTGGGCTGTGCGGGAGGAGAAAGAGGGAGTGTGTGTGTGCTGGTCGTCCCACTGCTCGGCGGACGCCTTCACCCTTCGGCTTCACTTCACGGGGTTTGTTTTGTGTTTCTCTGTTTGTTTGTGTTTTGTTGCTTTGATTGACCGCACCCATTCCGCAGCCTCTGCGTGCGTCTGCCTTCCGCTGACGTTGCTCTGCCGTCCCATTGGCTGTTCCATTTTTTGCTGATCTTTCTCTCTTCTGCCGCGCAACTGCTCTGCAGGTATATACGCTAACACGCTAACACACACACCCAAACACACACACGCCATGTCACTCACGCTGTGGAGCGGCGTGAACCCTGAGAACGCGCGCACGCTCAAGATTCTTGTGGCGGCGGCCCTCGCCAACGTGCCCGTGACACTCAAGCCGTGCGAGTACGGCCGCGAGAACGAGACGGCGGAGTACTGCCGCAACTGCAGCCCGTGCGGCCGCTACCCCGCGCTGCAGACGGAGGAGGGCTGCATCTTCGAGTCCAACGCCATCCTGCGGCACATCGCGCGCCTCGACCGGAGCGGCGGCTTCCTGTACGGCCGCACGCCGCTGGAGGGCAGCCAGGTGGACATGTGGCTCGACTTCGCGACGACGGAGCTGGACGCGGCCGTGACGCCGTTTGTGCTGCAGGCCTTCTGTGGCGAGCCGTTGCCCGCCGGCGCGATGGACCGCGTGCACGAGGCGCTGCAGGCGCTGGAGACGTGGCTGGAGACGCGTACGTTCCTCGTTGGCGAGCGCATGACGGTGGCGGACGTTGCGGTGGCCTTTGCGCTGCAGTGGCACTACCGCGCGAACCGTGCGGAGGGCGAGGCGCTGACGAGGAGGTACCGCAACGCCTACCGCCTGTACAACACGGTGATGCAGCAGCGGAAGACGGTGGAGGTGCTTCGGTCGCAGGGCGCGACGTTCGGTCCGGTGAAGGAGGAGCGGAAGGGCAGGGACGCGGCGGCGCCCGCCAAGGCGGAGAAGAAGCCGAAGGCTGCCGCTGTCGCTGCCGCCGCGGACGCTGCGGGGGAGGAGGAGGAGGCGCCGAGGGAGAAGAAGAAGCCGAACCCGCTGGACGAGCTGCCACCGAGCCCGTTCGTGCTGGACGCGTTCAAGCGGGAGTACAGCAACACGGACACCCGCACGGTGGCCGCGCCGTACTTCTTCCAGCACTACGACGCCGCCGGCTACACGGCGTTCTGGTGCCGCTACAAGTACAACGAGGACAACAAGATGCAGTTCATGACGGCGAACCTGATCCGGGGGTGGTTCCAGCGCATGGAGCACGTGCGCAAGTACGCGTTCGGCGTCGCGCTGATCATCGGGGAGGAGAAGCGACACGACATTGTGGCGCTGTGGGTGTTCC